GTGCTGGTTTGTGAGATGAGATTAGTTTTTGTTTGTTGCATTTACATGACACAGAAGAGCCAGATTAGAGCTTTAAAGCTGGATGGGAAATACTTTGATTTTCTAATCATTACTTTGGATCTGTTTTGCCTTCTTTAAGGTACAACTTCACCTGGAATGGACAGCCAACCATCGTTCGCCGTGGCCTTCCCCTCTACGACTGGGAAAAGCTCATCAGATGAGCGCCAATGACATCCTGCGTGTCAACAGGCTTTACAGATGCCGTAAGTGAATTAAAAAACAATTAAGATGTACCTGTTACATCACTTCTGCTCTTTACTAATAGATATTTAAATTTTCCACCCAGGTGTTTGAAGGAGTGAAGAAACCTCATCAGCTTTTTACCACAAACGTAGATGTGGCAAACCTAAACACTAGTCTTGTGAAGATCAGGAGTCGCCTGAGGAATAGGAACCCTCATAGGTTTAAAACAAAGACAGTTCGACCTTTTTCCTTTATTTTTGCTTTTTAAACATGTAACATTTTAAATAATCTAGCAAAAATATTATAGTTGAAACTGTGAAGGTCATCTTAAAAACTTTGTGCTGAAGATGGTGATGGTCGTGGGTAATACTTCATCCCTTCTTGTTGAGATCTGACTGTTTGCACCTTTTCCCATCACTTTCAAAGTTTGCTACTGATTGCTGATGTTTTTCTTACACCTAATAAAAATGTTATTTCATGCAAACATGTTTTCTTGTTTACACAGAAATTTAAATGGAATTTTCGTAACTAAAACATATTATGTATCATGTTTTACACACTGTGTGAAAAATATCATTCCAAAAACTAATAAAGTTTTCATCATCGTCATCTTCCTCCGCTTATCCGGGTCCAGATCGCGGGGGCAGCATCCCAACTAGGGAGCTCCAGATCGTCCTCTCCCCGGCCACCTCCACCAGCTCCTCCGGCAGGACCCCAAGGCGTTCCCAGACCAGATTGGAGATGTAACCTCTCCAACGTGTCCTGGGTCGACCCGGGGGCCTCCTGCCGCAGGACATGCCCGAAACACCTCCCCAGGGAGGCGTCCAGGAGGCATCCTGACCAGATGCCCAAACCACCTCAACTGACTTCTCTCGATCCAGAGGAGCAGCGGTTCTACTCTGAGTCCCTCCCGAATGTCCAAGCTCCTCACCCTATCTCTAAGGCTGAGCCGGCCACCCTACGGAGGAAACTCATTTCGGCTGCTTGTATCCGCGATCTTGTTCTTTCGGTCATTACCCAAAGCTCATGACCATAGGTGAGGATTGGGATGTAGATCGACCGGTAAATCAAGAGCCTGGCTTTCTGGCTCAGCTCCCTCTTCACCACGACAGATCGGCTCAGCGTCCGCATCACTGCAGACGCCGAACCAATCCACCTGTCGATCTCCCAATCCCTCCTACCCTCACTCGTGAACATGACCCCGAGATAGTTAAACTCCTCCACTTGAGGTAGGACCTCTCCCCCGACCCGGAGTTGGCAAGCCACCCTTTTCAGGTCGAGAACCATGTCTCAGATTTGGAGGTGCTGATCCTCATCCCAGCCGCTTCACACTCGGCTGCGAATCTACCCAGCAAGAGCTGAAGGTCAGAGCTGGATGAAGCTAGGAGGACCACATCATCCGGAAAAAGCAGAGACGAGATTCTTCTGCCACCAAACTCGACACACTCCACACCACGGCTGCGCCTAGAAATTCTGTCTATAAAGGTAATGAACAGAACAGGTGACAACGGGCAGCCCTGGCGGAGTCCAACCCTCACCGGGAACAGGTCCGACTTACTACCGTCTATGCGGACCAAACTCATGCTCCTCTGGTAAAGGGACTGAATGGCCCTTAACAGAAAGCCACCCACCCCATACTCCTGGAGTGTCCCCCACAGGGTGCCCCTGGGGACACGGTCATAAGCCTTCTCAAAATCCACAAAACACATGTGGATTGGTTGGGCAAACTCCCATGCCCCCTCCATCAGCCTTGCAAGGGTATAGAGCTGGTCCACAGTTTCACGGCCATGACGAAAACCACATTGCTCCTCCTCAATCAGAGATTCAACTATCGATCGGACCATCCTCTCCAGTACCTTGGAGTAAACCTTTCCAGGGAGGCGGAGGAGTGCGATCCCCCTGTAGTTGGATCACACCCTCAGTTCACCTTTCTTAAAGATGGGGACCACCACCCCGATCTGCCACTCCACCGGAACTGCCCCCGATGACCACGCAATGTTGCAGAGATGTGTCAACCACGACAGCCCTACAACATCCATAGCCTTGAGATACCCAGGACGAATCTTATCCGCCTCTGGGGCTCCGCCGCTGTGTAGTTGTTTGACTACCTCAGCAACTTCTGCCCCCGAGATTGGACAGTCCATCCCGAGGTCTCCCGGCTCTGGTTCCTCCTCGGAATGCGCATAGGTGGGATTGAGGAGCTCCTCAAAGTATTCCTTCCACCGTCCGACTATAGCCCCAGTTGACGTCAGCAGCTCCCCATCCCCACTGTGTGAGCGAGTTGCTGCCTTTCTCTCCTGAGGCGCCGGACAGTTTGCCAGAACCTCTTTGGAGCCGATCGATAGTCTTTCTCCATGGCCTCACCAAACTCCTCCCACGCCCGAGATTTTGCCTCGGAAACTGCCACTGCTGCACCACACTTGGCTATACGGTACCTGTCTGCTGCCTCCGGAGACCCACAGACCAGCCACACCCTGTAGGCCTCCTTCTTCAGCCTGACGGCTCCCCGAACCTCTGGTGTCCACCAGCGGATACGGGGGCTGCCACCACGACTGGCACCGGCCACCTTGCGACCACAGCTAGCAACAGCCGCCTCAACAATCGCAGAGTGGAACAAGGCCCACTCTGAGTCAATGTCCCCCACTGCTCTCGGGACGCAGTCAAAGCTCTGCCGGAGGTGGGAGTTGAAGACCCTCTTGACAGGTTCTTCTGCCACGCATTCTCAGCAGACCCTCACTATGTGTTTGGGTCTGCCAGGTCTACGTGGCCTCTTCCCCTGCCATCTGATCCAACTCACCACCAGGTGGTGATCAGTTGACAGCTCCACTCCTCTCTTCACTCAGGTGTCCAAAACATACGGCCGCAGGTCAGATGATATGACTACAAAGTCTATCATCGACCTGCGACCTAGGCTGCCCTGGTACCAAGTGTACCGATGGGCATCCTTATGTTCGACCATGGTGTTCGTTATGGCCAAACTGCGGCTTGCACAGAAGTCCAATAACGAAACACCACTCGAGATCAGATCAGGTGGGCCGTTCCTCCCAATCACACCCCTCCAGGTCAAGCTGTCATTCCCCACGTGAGCATTGAAGTCCCCCAGCAGGACAATGGAGTCCCCTGATGGAGCACTATCTAGCACTCATCCCAGGGACTTCAAAAAGGGTGGGTACTCTGAACTGATATTCGGCCCATAAGCACAAGCAACAGTCAGGACCCATTCCCCGACCCGAAGGCGCAGGGAAGCTACCCTCTCGCCCCCCGGGGTAAACCCCAACACACAGGCAGAGAGTCTTGGGGCTAACAAAAAGCCAAGCCAACCCCAGCCCTCCGCCTCTCACCCGGAGCAACTCCAGCAAAGGAGATTGTCCACCCCCCTCAAGGACTTGGGTTCCAGAGCCAATGCTATGTGTCGAGGTGAGTCCGATTATATCTAGCCGGTACCGCTCAACCTCTGCCACTCCTGCTCCTTCCCCGTCAGTGAGTTGACGTTCCATGTCCCAAAAACGAGTTTCCTTGTGCGGGGATCGGACCGCCAAGGCTCCCGCCTCGGTCTGCCACCCGATCCACACTGCACCAGACCCTTCATGTTCCTCCTGCAGGTGGTGGGTCCACAGTTGGATGAGGCCATGTATCCGGTTCGGGCTGGGCCCGGCCGGGCCCCATGGGCGAAAGCCCGGCCACCAGGCGCTCGCTCACTGGCTCCAACCCCAGGCCTGGCTCCAGGGTGGGACCCCGGTAACCCTCCGGGCTGGGTACTCCAACTCCTTGATAGTTCATCCATGAAAGATCCTCTGAACCGTTCTTTGTCTCACCCTTCACCTAAGACCAATTTGTCATGGGAGACCCTACCGGGGCACAAAGTGCCCCAGACAACATAGCTCCTAGGATCATTAGGGCACTCAAACTCCTCCACCACGATAAGGTGACAATTCAAGGAGTTTTCATGATATTCAAAATTTTTTTTGCTTTACTTCTAATCATTAGATTCCTCATCAACTTTTGAGTTAAATGCAAATACACATCAAACTCTTGTTCAAACAAACAATCCTCTTAATGTCAGATGTAATTCTGTTGTTAAGCTTCATTATGATTTTTATATTAACCTGTCTACATAGTAACCTATATATTTTAATACTTTAACTTCATCTTCTGATACACAAGTCTGAATTTTTAGATTGAATGTGATGAACTACAAAAAAATTTAAAGTTAATTTAATTCAAAAACATTTTCAAAGATAATTCATGGAAACAAAGGAAGCTTCTACACCTGCTCTTCAGGGGTACAGGCAATAAAGCGTAGGCTGAGTTACAATTCTTTTATTTTTCTGATAAGAGTTGTAGAAGTGCCACAACTACAGACTTTTAGAAAATGATAGTTTATGACATTGTTCTCCATTTAAAACTTGAACTTCTTTTTTGAGGTGAGGTTTCTGGAGGCTGACCCCTTAATGCCGTATCCTGCAGGTTAGAAAAGTGACCTCAAGTTAATAACATTTATAATGGGCTTGTCAACAAAATGAGTTGTGAGTTTTTTTTATTTGATTTCATTTGTTTTACTCACCGCATTGGTAGAGCCTGTTGATGCGAGTGATGTCATTAACACTCATTTCCCTGGCATTTCCGATTGGGAGATAAGGATCAATCCTGGCAAGAATAGTGGGTTGTTGATTTTTGGTGAATGCGTAACTTTAAAAGAGAAACAAAACAGTGTTATTCAAAAGAAACTGAATACATTCATATTTTTGTTTATTAGAGGATTTTTTTCACCCCAACAATTAAACAAGTAAACAAAAACAATAATTTTATGCAGAATCTTCCCCTTCTTCTATGTGAAAAGAGAACAAGACAGGAAAAATTAAGCCTCAACCTTCTTAATGTTGATAAGAATTTGTAATGTTAAAAGGGTATTATTATTATTAAGGGACCTGCTGCCGTTGCTCTGCCAGCACCCTTATTGTTCATCACTGAAGGATTTGTTCTCTTTATTATTATTCATCAGCAGATGTTAATGCTGCTCAAATGGCAGCGTGCACCCCCACAAATTATAGACCAAAACAAGTGGCTTGGCTGTGGGAGATGTGTCACACCCTGCCCTGTCTCCCCGCTCTGTTCAGTCCTGTGTCTCCTGATTACTCCCACCTGCCTCTCGTTTTCCAATCACCCAGGCTCCCAGCCCTCATGTATTTAAACCCTCTCAGTTCTGAGTGTCTTCTCGATTCATTGTTTCCATGTCCAGCGTGCCCCTTATAAAAACCTTTAAAACATTCCTGTCTACCTGCCTGCCTTTTTACCCTGCGCTTGGATCCTCACCCCCGCTTCACTCCCCTGCATCCTGAGACAAGGTGTGCTATGACTTTTCTAACCATTTTGATTTATCATGGCAACATTTTTAGCGAAAAACATCAAATGAATTTGCATTTTGAGTGTGTGCCACTCTGCATTTGCATAATTATAAATTAACCAGGTGCATAATTAATTAGATTGCAGGCCCAATAAAGAAGCATTTTTCACATATGCACGAACAATATCTTGTGCAGGCAGTTCCCTCTTTTTAAATGTCTTTAGGAATTTTCTTGTTATGATGATGATGATGATGATAATAATAAGAATAATCATTATCATCATCATCATCATAATAATTATTATTATTATACAAATAAACAAAACTCACTTGTCATATTCCATCACAGAGTAAAAGTCATAAGGAGTCCCCAGGTTGTTGGTAATTTTCTTTTCAAAAGCAAATTTGAACTCTGTTAAGGAATAAAAAACATACAATGTTTCCTTGAATCAGAAGGAACTCAGATCATACAGAGCACGATGGTGTATGCATTATATATGTAATCAATTGTATAAAACTGATTACAACAGAACTATGAAATAAAAGATTCTGCATGTGAACTGACCCTCCTGGATGTTCTCAAAGAGAATCTGGACGTAGTCGTCTCTGTCAGAGCGAACCTGTTCATGGTCGAAACCCAGAGCATGGAGAACCTCGTGTTGAACTGTCCTGTGGTACACACAGCTGCCTTTCTGCAGGGAAATGTACTGCCCTCCATCCTGGCGACCCAAGAGGGACCAGCACCTGAGGAACACATTAATAAATACGTGTGTGTGTGTGTGTGTGCGTGTGTGTGTGTGTCTGTTCCCACCCATTCATTGATTCGAAGTAGAGGTAATCTCGATGGCCTGGTTTCCATGGGACAAGGCGAATGCAGCTGGTCTGGTTGAAGCTCTGTAGGGCTTTAATGATGACCATCTGCTCTTCCTGACCTAAAAGGAAATTTAACAGCTGATTACCATTTGTGTGTTTTTTTATATGTTTAATCTAAATAACAACATTTGGTTCAACGAGTTACAAATCAGTAAAGCTTACCGAACTGAGGAGAGATGTAGTAAGGAACATAGACAAATGCACCAGATTTGGGCCATTTGCATCCTCTGGCAGTGCACAGATCTGCATTCCTGTTTATGGTATTCGCTACAGCAATGTCTCCGTAGACTGTTAGTGCTTCTACAATGAAAAGTTTTTTTTAAACATAAATAATTACAAGTCCAAGGCACGAATGTAAAACAGAGATGCTATTTTGTATTTTTTTATTTGTTAGGGTAACAAAAACACAAAACATTTGTGGATCAAATTCCCTTTGATGTTCTTTTTCTTCCTTTCCTTTTTTGCTTGTTGGCTTCAAATGCCAAAACAAATTACTCATAGCTCTATGATGCACTAGCATTTCTGCTTTCGACTGCAGCTACTTATTCACCCCCTACATTCAAATCAAGATACCTGATTTTCATTAATAATATTTCAAACACCTTTACAGATAATTAATGCAGCAAATGTCTTATGTTAATCAAAGTTAACTGGTGAACTCATTCACTGTTTCGGCTCTACTGTCAGGTGTGTCACACCAGTGCAATCTGAAAAGTGTCTTACTTAAGTCTGTTTTGGGCCTTGGAACGGGATCAGAATTGTATAAAGGCTCATCTGAAGGAAACAGACAAAAGCATTGTGAATTTCAAATCTTCTGAGTTAAATGTCAGACACAGATGTCTTTTAACCCACCATAGTTGCTGTCAACTGGTGCATTCTGCAACACAAGCAATAAATAACTAAGTTTAAAATGACACATTTGACTATAATGACATTAATACATTCCCTTAATGAACTGATTCAATTGAAACAAATTTTTAAACACTGAAATCCTGGTATTTCAAAAAAGTTAGATTAACTCTAAAACCCCCTAAATTTACAATATCAGTCTTACCAGAGAGTCATGTGGGACTGAGAGAAGGAGGGTGAGCAGGAGAGCTTGATGCATGATGACCAGGAAGGTTCTGGAAGTTCTAGGTTACTCTTTGTTAGAGGGAGACTTACCTGATGTGTCAGGAGACTGAAGCTGCTGATGTTCATTCAGATCTGCTCTTTATAAGCAGCTCAGTTGCTCCACAATTTTGAATCTCACTGATGTACATACTGCACCAGTTCCAAGTAAAATTACAACACACTGAATTAAACCACTTGTGTTGAAACAAACAGCCAAATGTTTTCTACAGCATAACGGCCACAAACATTGGCAATTAGGTGGATTTCCAGAAGTCCAATGACAAAAAAGTTGCAGCAATTTACCTGAAGGTATTTACACTATTTTAAACCTTGACACTTTGTCACATAACACTGATAATATGGCAGAAATATGCTCCAAAGTTTGGTGGCACAGTTGGTTGCACTTTTGTTTTGCAGTGAGAATGTTGCAGGTTTGAATCCTGGCTGCAGCCCTTTTACTAGAGGTTTGCATGTTCAGCCGCTGCATGCGTGGGGTCTTTCCAGGTGCTTCGACTTCTTTCCACAGACTAACATGCATGTTGGGCATATTTGCAAACCTAACATGCTTTAACAGGTGAATGAGTGTGTGAATTGTTGGTGTTTCTGTTTGTCTCTGTGTCTCTGTGTTGGACTAGAGACATGCCCGTGGTGTCGCCCCACCCTCATGCCTGATGACTGCTGGAAATGGGCACCAGCTCCCAGTGACCCTACTGAAAAAGAAGTGGATCAGATAATGGACAGATGACCCAACATTTTTCCCCAAATATTTGTCCAACTGAAGCTAACAAGAGTGTTTCCAGGCATTTTTAGCAAGAAAAACGCAGTAGAAGGACTCCAACGTGAAGGCACCTCTAGCCTGCTTAGTAATGAAATCATAACTAGGTAAGCTGACCGAGAATATCAGGCTTTGCTGGTTCACCGTGGTCAAAAATCCGTGAGTCCGCCATTGTCAAAGTTCATGGCTCTGGAACTCGGCTCAAGGTTTTGTGTCGCGCTCATGACCAGAGACGAGAACGACAGACTCACGGATCTTTCACCGCGGTGGACCAGCAAAGCCCAATGCTCGGTCAGATACCCAGCAGACACAGCAACACATTTGTCAAGTCTTGCCTTAACTTGTGTAGAATCCCCGCTTGAAAGGGATGGCAGAGTCTTTGCAGTTTTATATGACTGGGCTTTACTCAAGGACCACACAATTATTCCTTGTCGTCTTCATTTTATTTTGTTGTTTTGTAGAAGGCTTAGGATTGTAGTTGGTCTTGTGCAGGTAAAAACCTCAAAGAAACATGTAAATGCAAATGGTTACGACAAACCCATACTATACATTTTACTAAATTCAAATTGCACAGATACTTAACTGAGAACCAACAAAATAGTACATCACTTCAAGATAATTGTTTTTTATTTTAACTATTTAAATATTCAAATGTTTTAATAATTTACGCAAAATTAAACAACCTTTTATTTGTCTAATTCATGCAGTGCAAATATATTAAACATGTTTATTGGTTTTTTAAATCAATCAATGGTTTTAAACTTTTAGCTCAATCCATCTAACATTTACAAAAGCAGATGACAAAGTCTATCAAATGTTGCTAACAAAGTCTTAAAACAGTGTTTTGCAGTGCAAACTATTGATGTCAAACAATATGGCCATGCCACATCACCATGCTAGTAGGCCAGTGGCTAAGCTACAGCCAACCAGAAAACAACTCCAGCAATAAAGTTTCTTAGGTTCTCTCTTACCAGCTGCCTTCCTGCTGCTTGAATCAAGGCTCTGCCAGCTCCACACAGGCTTGCCACATAAGCAAAAAGTGCTTCACATGGGCCAAGGTTTGGTACCTGTGATTGTCTGATTACTAAAACTGGGCGTCGGCTGGTGCATCACCTTTTATAGTCCTGATCCTACCACTGCCAAACACAGTTCCACCATAATTGTTTCCAACTAATTTACATTTAAGCAAACATTACTTTCCCATTTATCTTATTTTATTAGACTTTAAAAGCATACATATATAATTTTTTTATTTTTTATTTTAACAAAACAACGTTATATTTCAACCGATTTCAACCCATCTTAGACCAAGCAGTGATATGGTAAACGCATAGAATTTTCCCCCATTCAACCAGGAAACTATTATTAAAAAAATGCGAGTGAGCGACTCAAAAGTAAAGCAGCATCAACTAAAAGATCTGCAGTGTTTCTGTGATCTCCCTTAGAAGTCCACAAGTAACCAGCATGACTACAGCCAGGGCTTATTTGAGCCGGATGTTGCCGGAACAAGATTCCAGACAGATGCATCCTGAGCACGACTACAGTAACCTTCTCAAAGTGTTGCCACCTCAAAAACAAATTTAACACTCGATTGTTTATGTCTGCTCATATCCTTTCATGCTTTCTGTCTTTTATTTGTGCCTGATGCGTTTTACTGCTGCGGTGCAGAGTGCATCACCTGTTTCATCCTCCGGTGAATTCACCTCACCGGCGCGGTCAGCGCGCACTCCGGTATTTTTACGGTCGGTAGATCTTTTTGAACTGCAGTTCAAAGGTAATTCATAAGGTGAAAACATATGAAGGCAGGTAGCAGTTTTTCTTTAGGATTGAGAGGAGATGCAGGAAGATAATAAACAGGCAGGACAGAAAAATAGTCACATAAATAACAAGTTAGTTTTTGTACCTGGTGGTTGCAACAAACAGACACCATTGAAGGTAATCAGAAGTGAGGAACAGAAAATGAAATAATTATTTCAATGTTTAGATCGGTAGGAACTCTGAGAGGCTGCAGGCGCACCAGTGAGTTTGCGGCCGCTGCGTGCGCGGGGGGGGGGGGGGGGGGGGGGGGGGGGGGGGGGGGGACTGGGACATTAATTCAGGCCGGGAATTTTGAAATCACCCCAGGCCACCGCCCAATTCACGCTAAACACTAAACATGGGTCAGGTTGGGTGCCTACTGATGTAAAAGTGTAAACCAACCAAATTAAAACTTCACATGTGCCCTGATTCTTTCCTCTAACATATAAATATTTGTGTTCTGCTGCTATAATCTGTACTTATGTTGCATAAACTGAAATTCTATTTATTCTGTTAAACGTGCCTCCTGCACATGAGATGAAATAGGCCAGACACCATCATCCACCTGAGCTACAGGTACTAGACTACACGTCTGGGTCAAGAGAATCACACCACACGTGGAGACATAAAAAAGTGTGTGTGTGTGTGTGTGTGTGTGTGTGTGTGTGTGTGTGTGTGTGTGTGTGTGTGTGTGTGTGTGTGTGTGTGTGTGTGTGTGTGTGTGTGTGTGTGTGTGTGTGTGTGTGTGTGTGTGAGCAGACAGGCTCTGGTGCAGATTTGGCCCCATATCGAGCCAGCATCAGCCAGCTTCTCACATCTTCGCTCTAACACCCACTGGCTTCCTCACAGGGTAGACGCACACACATACTCAAACACACACACACACCATCACGTACTGCTTCATGGCCGTTTACTCTGATCGTGTCAAACTAACGGAACACCCATCCGGAGGAGCACAATCCGATGACGAATCATAGGTCCACCCCAGGAAGCGAGGATCATCAGCGAAACTCAGAAGAGGGGAGAGAGCACAGCACAGGGCACCTCAATGTAGACACAACAAAATGGCGTCTAATGCAAATTAACAAACAAAAAGAAACCTAGCACTGTGAGTACCTGCATGTACTATGTGTAGCAATTATGTGAATTAGCATTTAAGTGAAAAAATGGATGCAATACGCTACGTATAATGGAAAAAGTGGTGCAAAAAGAATAAAATTAATAAAACCCTATACTGCGTATGGGAGAAATCACTGCATTAAGTAAAAATATAATCAAAATGAAGGGCAAAAATGGTTGTAGCCCATAATGGTAAATTAACAAAGTTGATCACAAAGTTTTCAAAACTTAATCACTGTAGTAAAGTTCTATAAAAAGATAGATATGAGTGTCAAAGAGCACTAAAATGTAAATCACTGAAGTTAGTAATCGACCTACATGTGAATGTACCCATAAGGAATTAAGATGAATGAAAATATTTTTAAAAAAATTGGATAACGGTAATATGTGGACTAATACCATCTACTGTTAACTACCTGATTACCTGACTTCAGGAACCCACAGCATGTTCATCTCAAATCACCCAAGTCTGCACGTCATGTATAAACAGGAAAGACAACCATGCACACACACAGACAAACTTGTGTAACTTGAGATAGAGAGCTATGGAACCGACGAGGCACGAAATCACCCCCCTTTCGAAGTCGGTAAGTTGTTGGTGGTAGCATTGACCAAATTAGTGGAACCCTTGTGTGGTTTGGTTTGGTCCCTGTGGACCCATTTATAGACGGGCTCCTTGTTTGTTTGGGTAATCTTGATCTGATACACGACTGGAGAGAGCTTATCCGTTATCAGGTATGGGCCTGACCACTTTGGTAAAAGTTTCTTAGCCAGCTTCCCAGAGGTGTTCTTGGTGTCACCAGTTTTAGGAGCGAAAATGTAGAACCAGGCCTCATCACCTATGTTGAGTTCAGAATGTGAGGCCATCTGATCATAATAAGCCTTCCTGCCCTCAGCTTATTTCTCCAGATTTGTCTGTGCAAACAAGAACGCTGCAGGCAGATGGTTCTTCAGGTCCTGCAAATATTGTTCGCTCGTGTAAGCCGGGTCGGGCTCGGACTGAACTGGCTGGTACAGCAGGTGAAGTGGCAGGGTCATTTGTCTACCCGTCATCATTTCAAATGGGGAGACACCAGTAGACTCATGGGGGTTGCCCGTATGGCCATGAGGACCAACGGAAGCTTCACATCCCAGTTTCGGTGATTAGAGGGCACGCACTTCCTCAACATGCCAACAACCATCCGGTTCATCCTTTCCACCTGGTCAGAAGACTGGGGGTGATGGCTAATGTGGAAATTGGCCTTCACACCCAACAGTTTCCAAAGATGTGCCATCACTTCAGAGGTGAAGTGAGTACCCCTGTCCGAGTCAACCCGAGTGGGCATACCGAACCAGGCAAAGACGTGATTCATCAGGAGAATAGCTGTTGTTTTCGCCGTGTCATTAGGTGCTGGTAGACATTCAACCCACTTGGTGAATGCACAGGTCACGGTCAAGATGTATTTATTACCCCTGCTGGACCTGGTCAGAGGCCCCACCCAATCGAATTGCAAGTCCGACCACAGTGTGGACGGTCCCTTTCTCTGTAGGGGAGCTCTGTGTGTGGGGTTGGATGGCTGAAACTGACAACAAACCAAACTACGCTGGACGTGGTCTGAGACGTCGCGACGCATCCCTGGCCAATAAGCAACCTGGCTCAGGGCACCGAACGTGGCCTTGACACCTTTGTGTCCGGCGGAGGGAGAGTCATGAGCTTGCGTGATCATGCCCCCCCCCCCCCCCCCTAGTGACTGTGGCGCCACGAGGACAGGTGACAAAGGAGGCTTGGAGGCGTGCATCAGCAACCCTTCAACCATTCTCAACGTGATCCGAACACGACAGAGAGCACGGAGCTCAGGAACGGAGTCAAGCTCGGCGGAAGAAGGCAGATGAGTTGTGGGATCAGAAAGTTACAGGATCATCCTGCTTATAGCAGGGTACTGGGACTGAAGACTGACAAGATCATTGCCAGAAAAGACAGGTTGAACAAACACAACACCCTCGGATGGTTTGGAGTGGACGCGTTAGCGGCCTGAGCTCGAGTCATGACACACACACGGGGTGGGTCAGACCGAGAAGACACATCCTAAGGAAGCCACAAGGGGTTGAAGACCCATGTGCTACGGGCTATGCCTGAGCGTGAACGCGCATGACGCAGCCTGCTCGACCCGAGCAACTCTCTTTTTCTGTGATTTTACAGAAAAATAGGCAATCACAGTAAAAATGCCACGGCTCATTCTACAGGACCAGGGCATTGCAGGAGAATGTCTGAAGAAGAAATGTATTATTTCTACACATGTTTTGGCTGTCAAACTTCCATAATGTCCCTTTAAAGCTCTTCCCCCTTTTAGAAAATGCCTGACTCTCTCTAAAACAAGTAAAGAATTTAGGGTTACCAACTCGAAACCATTCAGCATCCATACAGACATTTGTCTCAGCCACCTCTCTCCTCCCCTCCTCTCCTTATCCTAGAGTAAAAGTTACAACAAAGGGAGTCACCATAGAGACATTTGTCTCATCAGCTCACTCACTCACACAGGCATCCCTTTCAACCCCTCTCCTCTCCTCTCCTCTCCTCTCCTCTCCTTAGTGTCACATTTTGAACCATTCAGAATACACATTTTGCAACAGAGGAAGTCATCATTTTACATGCATTCAGGCATTTGTCTCAGCCACCCTTGTTTCCAATGTGACACACACACACACACACACACACACACACACACACACACACACACACACACACACACACACACACACACACACACACACACACACACACACACACACACACACACACACAGGACTCCCTTCATCCGGCAAACCCCCTCTCCTCCCCTCCTCTGCCACAGCAGCAGAGAGCTGCTTTAATCAATCACAACAGGTGACACCAACCAATACCAGTCACTGTGCACATCAAGTTATCTTTCAACAGAAGATAATCAATAAAATTATGTGTATAAAATGGATCCAGAAGTTGTACTCCATCTCTGCCTACAATATTTCGATAATTTTCACCCTGTTAGCGGTTTTACAGAGCAGGTACCACTTTTGTCACCCATCTCTCCTTTTAAAGCATGATTCAAATGTTCAGAATGCAAATCTAGGCTCTGTCATGCTGGAGGGGGCTCTGAGCGCGCCACAGAACCAGAGCGCATGAGGGGAGATTCTTCACACTGAAGCAAGTGTTTTCCAAACCCTGTCTCTCACAGATTATGAAACTTTGGGTGAATAGCGCATGTTCTTGTCTCTAATGTGGCAACGCATCCAGGACCCTGTCTGAGGAGAACCCCAGAATCTCATATCCTCTTCAGCTCAGAAAGCGCCTATATGATTACGCACAAGCGTGCCTGTTCAGGTTTGCGCAGACAATCTTTACATTTAGAATTGACATACATACA